GAGTATTATACTTAGTTATGATTATTTAGTAGGTTCTCATACTCATATTTAGTTTTATTTTCTTAATTTCATTGTTTAGATCATTCCTGGCACACTGCACACTTCTACAATCCACTTTGTTGACAAGTGATTCAAAATAAAAAAAATATTAATTACAAAAAAAAAGAATATACACATACATGCAAAGCTTTGCATATCCTTATGACAAAGAATGTTTTTTTTTTTTGGATCTACGCTTTTGTAGTACGTTATGTAATATGTTATAAAAGTATTTTATGTAGAAATGGCGTTACCGAGCCAGAAAATGTGTGACGACTTGAACGTGCAGTTTGGATGAACGCTAAAATGGTGGCTATGAGATTCCACTAATTATTAGCAAGCTACCTTAGCTCCAGTGCAAACATGGAACATGCCTTGTTTAACTGTTATGAATACGAACACAATGAGAATAAGTGTGTAGTTCCCCACAAAGCTAAAAAAGAAAACAATTAAAAACTATATATATGAAATTATATATATTAGGGATACCTAACCGAGTAACCTACTTAGTATTAAGCAGTCAAGGATGTCACGGAACATTTTATTTAGCTCTGTTGGCGTTTCACTGCTGTGTGCTGCTAGAGATGAGCTTTATAAGCTTTACGAGTTTTACGTTTAAGATGTTATGGTTTAAACGGTGTCTTTAACAGAGAGCGTTATTGCGGCTGACATGAGTGCGCAGCGCAGTATCAGCGAGCATGATCATTAACAAGGCTGCACTGTGAGTGTAAAGGGAGTGTGTGTGTGTGTGTGTGTGTGTGAGAGACTCAGTGCTCGCAGAAGTGAAGTGCTCTCCCGTGTTACAGATTCTCTGAGAGCGTTATTGCGGCTGACGTGAGTGCGCAGAGCAGTATCAGCGAGCATGATCATTAACAAGGCTGCACTGTGAGTGTAAAGGGAGTGTGTGTGTGTGTGTGTGTGTGAGAGAGACTCAGTGCTCGCAGAAGTGAAGTGCTCTCCTGTGTTACAGATTCTCTGAGAGCGTTATTGCGGCTGACGTGAGTGTGCAGCGCAGTATCAGCGAGCATGATCATTAACAAGGCTGCACTGTGAGTGTAAAGGGAGTGTGTGTGTGTGTGTGTGTGAGAGAGAGACTCAGTGCTCGCAGAAGTGAAGTGCTCTCACATGTTACAGATTCTCTGTTACAGACACTCGCTTCACTGCTCCACGCTTGCCAATAAATTCGTGTGCGCGCTATTCACAGCACCGTGTTCATTTTTTATGAACATGCTCGCCGATACTGCTCTACACGCTCAGGTCGGCCGTCCTCGTGCTCTTTATTAAACACCAGAAAGATCAGGTTACTCGTACTGTTGGAAGAAGCTGTAGTTCCTCCTCTTGGAGCACAGTGTGTAGCCTGCTTTGCTTTGATCATTAATCGTGAAATACATCCTGATCGCTGTTCATCAGTGAAATTACGTATTCTAGGCTTATGTCACATTACAACATTACTTATGTAAATGAGCACGATATTATGCTGATACCAGCAATTTTATCGATGTATCCCTAATAACAATAGTGTGCAAATAGTGTAGGTTTTGTGCAATATGTGATGACATCAGGGTGATGTAATACAAATGAAATTCTGGATATTGAATTAAGATGTAGGACCTGGGGAGAACAGGACGGCGGCGCTGAACAGAGCCATTTCTTCTTCCGTGAGCTGCAGGCGGCTCATCGATTTAGCGAGTTCAAACACAGCGTTCACCAGGTCATCACAACCTACAGGGTGAAGCAGGAGGGGAAAAAACTCTGCTTAGAAATCAAAAATGTGTTCCCATAATCCACCACACAGCGGCCCTCGAGCTCTAGCTGATGGCTGGCTGATCATCAAACACCACACAACACCACAAGCCAGTCAGGTGTAGGAACTCCAAGAACGCACAGAACATGAAGATGGTGCCGGAATTGGCACTTTGATCAAATACACTGTAGTAATTAAACCAATTAGCAGCAGCAATGCAAGTCAGTCTAATTATACAGTATCAATACCCAGCTCGTACAGGATATTCAGGTTTGAGAAAAAAAAGAAAACAATTGAGCTATTAGTGGAGACTACATGCCAGTTGGCGTCTGTGTTGGCGTTCCTGAATCACACCCTGTGAAAACGTAACTGTTGCATAATGACTGAAACGAGACGTACCGAGAGCTTTGAAGAGCTGAACGCTTGCGAACTTCCCGTCAAAGAGCAGCGTGTGGTTCGCGGGGTTGTACGCTCGACACATCTGAATCAGCAACACGCTCAGACATCCTGCGGAGAGACAAAAAACACGGGGATTCAAATCCAAACTGAAGTCTGTGTGTGAACATATTTAAATGTGTGTGTTCTCATATGACAGCGATGGTGGATTCCGTGATGAACAACACAAGTGGGTTGTGGTTTTATTTCAATGTGAAACTGGAATAAAGAAAAGCACAAACAATAAACACCGCACAAAAAAAACCAAAACAAGACAAGCAACTGTTCAAACACAAACAATGAATAATGCAGAGGATTATTCGGCTTTAGTCACCGAGTGAACTAGCCGCTTGTTTGCGACGTGTTTGGAAATGTCAAACGAATCAAATTGCTTTAAATGCACAAACGTCCAGAAGAAACATTCTGCAAAAGGCTAAAAGAATTCAAGGCAGGAAATGAAATTAGGAACTCGTACAGGATTAAATGTGAAGAAGAATCCAGGAGGTAACTGTGGAGGTGTAGTGCACTTCAGTTCAGATAGTAGCTGTAGAAAATGTGAAGCTTAGTACACAACAATTCCAGAGAAACATGACGTTACAGATGTTTCTAGAGAAAGGTCCGGTTTCTCCGGAAACTTTCTGTCCCGCTTAGCTTTTACTACATCTACTATATAAAAATCCTGTGGAATTGAAATTTCAAATATCTGCTGATTTCACCTCCTACAGCCTCAGAAGCACTGATGAAAGGTTGTTTTTAAGTGTGTGTATGTGTGTGTGTGTGTGTGTGTGTGTGTGTGTGTGTGAGTGTGTGTGTGTTCTCTGACCTGCTTTGAGCAGGATGATCTGGTCGTTCTGACACAGCTCCATGAAGCCTGAGATGCGCTTGGCGAACTCCACCACGTACTGGATGGCGTTAGTGAGGTGCACCACACACTGCTGCCACATCACCTCCATCGGCTGTACAGGAACCAACACAGAGTGTGAGTGTGTGTGTGTGTGTGTGTCTGTGTGTGTGTGTGTTAGAGTCACGTCTACTTCATAGACATCTTATACTTAGTGTATAAATCTAAAACAGTCAAACTGCAGTATGAGGTCTATGTTTCAGGAGAAGTTATAATCATGTTGCTAAAACGTTATAAAGCCAGAGCTCTTAGTGATTGATTGATTGATTCATTTATTTCTGTGAGATTTTAGGGGATGAGTACTTTGTTCTGGTACGTGCGAGTCTCCTCGGCTGTGTACAGGTTCCACGCAAGCCGTTTCAGTTCCTCTGTGGTGTACTGACTCGTCTCTACATGTGACTTCACCACACTCTGAGCGATGCGTTCTGCATATAACACACACACACACACACATACACACAAACACATGAATATACCACAACACATTGTCCTACAATCAGGCCTTTTCCACAACAACAAAAAAAAAAACACTCAGAAATGAACCAAATTAGCTAAAATATTTCTTAAATCTTTGTTTGGGTCTTAAACGTAACAGTGGATAATGATGGATGTGACGTAGCTACAGCACTAACTACAATGTCAGAAAATTGACACAATAATGTAAGGTATAAATTCCCAAATCCAATTTTAGATTTTTCTCCATAAGTCAGCCTAAAGTCACGTTTGTAGATACAGAGGTGGGAAAGAGGCTAAGCCGGGCTACACAACGCTAAGATTTGGGAAAAGACTGTAAAAATTTTTCTATGTGAGTCACAAATTCATTTTCTATCACAGCGTTGTTGAATTTTGGATTGTGATTGGTCAGAAGGTGTTGATTAATTTTCAATAACAGCAGCTTTGACAGTCGTGCAGCTCCAAATCACAGGTTTATATTAATGTGCTTGCTCTAATATGTTATCGTTTCTATAGTAACAGCTCATTCACAGCCCAGGTAAGATGGGCTTCCTTTATGGAAGGAGTCTCCAGTGTCAGTGCTTTGTAACAGTCAGACGTAAAGCTGTAACTTTAAGTTTTCTGACATCTTCAGGACAGAGTAGTTTACACTTTGTGGGTTCTTGGTATTATGACACAAGAGTAAGGGAGCAGTATGAGACGGAGCCTGTATCAGGGTTTCTGAGTGGCGCGTAGTGTGAGACTGACCTGTCTCGAGCAGCGAGAACCCCTCGTTGAGCGGCGAGTGCGTATGAAGAAGCTGGCATTCGTGTTTTAACTCCATGGAGCTGTGTGAGGATGAGTTGCTCCCTCCGCTGCTCCCTTCTCCGCTCGTCCTGTTGTTGCCCTGCAGCTCCAGGCTGCAGTACTCATCCTCCGGGGTCAGGGGCAGGTCAAACAGCAGGCCTCCGAGGTCGTCGAGGTCGCTGAGGGCTGTGCTGGAGCTGCGGCTGCAGGTTCGAGTGTGTCCATCGTGGCTGTTCTCTCCGGGTTCCTCCCCCACGCCGCCAGAGGACATGACGCTGCTGACGCACTCCTGACCCTGCTGATGTTTCTGCACCTCGGCGTACAGGCTGTCTCGCTGCTTTTTAGACATGCGGCCAAACTTCACCGCTGAGAGAGAGAGAGAGAGAGCGAGAGAGAGCGAGAGAGAGAGAGAGAGGTGTCAGAAAATGTCTTTTAGTGCATGATGTGTTCACCTAATGTTCTAGATTCTCAAGTACATAGTTGTTGCTCTTTCGGTTGCTCCCATTAGGGGTCGCCACAGCAGACTGTTTGTCTGCATGTTTGATTTGGCACAGGTTTTACGCCGGATGCCCTTCCTGATGCAACCCTCCCCAATTTTACTAGAAGTGCACTGTCATGTGCAGCCCCAGTGGCTGGGGTCGGTTCCCTGGCCGGGAATCGAACCTGGGCAGCGGCCATGAGAGTGCCGAGGCCTAACCACTAGTCCTCCAGGGACCCTCTCAAGTACATAGTATATGGAGTTAAATATAGTGCACGGTGTGTGATTTGAGACACAGCCTTGCCTAATCACTCATGTCCACAGACTGTCCCAACACTAATGTTCTATTATTCATACCTCATGTTTAATTGATGCTCTTACAGGAACCTCGAGCCATTTTAGTAAACACCGCAAACACTACAGCACACAGATCCTGTCGAGACTTCTTAACGGTCATTGCTTTTAAATTTTCAAAAGTGTTAATAAAGTGTATTGATTTATGGCTGTGATCTTAGTAATGAAAGTGTGCTAGTGATGTAAGGAATAAAACACTCTGTGCTGTTACAGGAAAATGATCAGTGACTGGGGGGTGTGATGATGAGTTACTGTTATCACCCCAGAGTGGATCATTCTCCAGTAACAGCACATCCAAAAGAGTTTTGTTCCTATGCACTGATTCAAGAACATCATACTTTTTATCCATTTATAGTTACGTTTAATGTTGGTCCTATTCTCACTTACGTTACAGCAGCTATAAACAGTCGTTCCCTCACCAGCCTCTCTGTTTCTCTCTCTCTCTCTTAACGTTAATTTTTTTATTTGTTTTTTTATTTCCGTGTCCTTGATTGTGTGTGTGTGTGTGTGTGTGTGTGTGTGTGTGTTGCATCAAAGGTTCATGAAATTGAACACCCAGTGAAATTGAATAAGATCTTGTCATGGCCAGAAACCGCAAAGAAGCATAAACTTACATAAAATTACAGCTTTATCTCTGACTGTTACAAAGCGGTGACACTGGAGACTCCTTCCATAAATGTTAAATAAACGTCTCCTTACAGAAAACTTCACCTTATCAATGATGTTTTAATAATATAATTTAGAAAGTGGAGCGTCTGCTGTACGAGTCCCTGTGAATGAGCTGTTACTATAGAAACGATAACGTATTAATATGAACCTGTGATTTGCAGCTGCGCTACTGTCACAGCTGCTGTTATAGAAAATTATTCAACACAAATAGACAAGTAGAGTTTGTCTCACCGTCGCGGCTCATGCCGAGCGCCAGGCATTTCTGCAGCCGGCAGTGCTGACACCGGTTCCTGTTCGTCCGGTCGATCACACAGTTCCTCTGCCGAGAACACGAGTACATGGCGTTATTCTGCTGACTGCGCCGGAAAAAACCCTGCAGGGAAAGAAAAAATTTGATTATGGATTGAATCATACTGTGGGCTCATAATCGACATTTAGAAAAATAAAGTAATAAATGGAATTGGGACTTGTGTGACTTTTATAATGGAATATGATAAAAAGCTGATATGGTGTCAATAATAATAATAATAATAATAATTATATATACAGTGTATATATATATATATATATATATATATTTAAAATAAATATTTTAAATTTCACACAAGTACACAGTGTATATGTATCTGCACTAAATCACAAAATAACAAAATCAAATATTATATAGGCTTATAGACAAATGCGTTTTTATTGAAAACATGTCAACAATACTGGAAATGATTCCATAAAGGACATGGATTTCTTCAGAGCCGTTCCCTACATCAAGCAACATACAGGTAATTTATCCAAAAACATTTAGGAAACGTTTTTTTAAAAAAACCTGTGCCAGGTGAGTAAAAATAGAAACGTTAGAAGGAGGAATTTTTGCATTTGAATATATAAAAATGATGAAAATGTAACTAGTACTCGACGGTGAAATTTGTTCTTACAGCACTAATGGAAACACAATCAATTCCAGATTTTTATAAATATAATATTATTATTTCAAAGCAGTAAGTGATCAAGGAAATGTATTTATTTAATTATTCTTATAACGCATGTATTTAAATTAGTGACATCATCATTTAGTACAGACGAGAGAGAGAGAGAGAGGTGCTGATTTTTTTTTTTTTTAAAGTCTACATTACCTTACATCCTTCACATGTGATCACTCCATAATGGATCCCTGATGATTTGTCCCCACAGATCTTACAGGGGATCACCTCGATTTGAGCTGTGTGAGAGAGAGAGAGAGAGATAGAGAGAGAGAGACAGGATCAACACAGTTCCTCACAAACAGAGTCAGAGATCTTGTTTGTGGTCACATAAACCTCAGTGTGTACCAGAGTTTGATCTCTTGTGTCCTCGTATCTCTTTCATTTTGTTCCCCTCTGCACGTCACGCTGCATTTCCATTACAGAAGAGATATAATGCTATACTTAATGTTCCAGTTTTATCTGCAGTTTAAAGTCAATAACAATTTCATTTCTTCACTCACATACTGAGCCATTTTACATCCATTTCTCTTATTCAACACGATGATTCAAATATTCCATAAAATGTATTTAAAGGAAACACATGCATGCGTATCAATCAGTGTGTGTTTTAAAAATGAAAGGATTTAGTTCTGCGGTGAGAGAAGCTCTTTTATTTCTCTGTCATCACACGGACCCTCGTTCTGGCTCCACAGTGCGTCCAAACATCATTAGAGCTGAAAAGACGAGTATTGAAAATGAAATTAATTTTACTGCAGTGATAAAAGTGATCAGTCCCTTTCACGTCATTTTGCTGCAGATCCTCATAAAACCCGTCTCACCAGCAACAAACTAAATCATGTATCACTTGGAGAAAGATCAGAACCCGCCGATTACTATCGGGCCGAATCCGAGCTCGGATCTCCCAGAAAAAAACAAACAAACAAACAAAAAAACCCAAAACACACTGCAACCCAAAACACACAGCGTGTTTGATTCACTTCCTGCAGTCGAGACGATTCAGAGTCAAATCCCTTTCTCACTACAGTTCACTTGTTCCCTTTCAAACTAAAGTGGGCGGAGCTTATATTGGGTAACAGATGTATAAAGCTTCACTTTAACCAGTCACAAGGCTGATGTTTGTCCCACCCTCAAAGCTTTTATGAAAATAACGCATTCGTGAGTTGCTGCTGTGCCAATTCAAGAAATGGGCAAGTTGATGCATGTAGGGTTGAAAACCACAGATTCTCGAGTGTCAATCATACGGGCTGATTAAAATATTAAGCCACGCCCATTAGGTCAGTTGTCATATGGGTCCATTTAGGAAATTCAGCTGGTGATTCAAACGTTAATAGAAGTTTGGTATCATACATACATCTCTCATATTTCACAGTGTGTTCCTTGAGTAGTTATGGGTAAAGAGCAGTACCTCCTAAGAGGGTTAAAAAAAAAAAAACTACACAAAAGTTCTGGTACTGCGTAATGGTGAGTACCGACCCAATTCAAGGACATGCTTGATGTACAAAAAGAGTATTTCAGCATTCTGTTCAGTAAATAGTGCACTTCTTAACAACTAACAAAGCTATCATGCATTATGCCGTGTGTAGGGAGAATATTTTGGGGATTTGGCCTAAATTTGGAGGAGAATAAAATAAATTATACTGAGAAAGCAAAGAAGAAACTGTTACCTACTAAACCTTCAGATGTTAATAGTTGTATCTGTTTAATGGGTTTTAATCCCTAGAATCTAATCAGGTGAGAATGAAGAGAGCCTTTGTTGCGGCATGGTGAAGTGAGTGTGTTCCTGGAAATATAATCTGAATTAAAAAAAAGGAACAGTAAGCCATCGCATGCGAAGATAAAGCCCAAGGCGACGTCTTAAAAACCACCCCAACATTCCAGAGACGTGCTGTTTTTCAGTTCTGCTGCTTATCTAAACGGTGAAGTCCTCTCTGTCCTGCAAGAGCAGCTCATCAGGACGAGGGACGTTATAAAGTTTCCTTCACTGGACTTTCTGGAAGCCATGAGAGAGACAATGTTACAGCAGAGCTGAGCAACACAGACTCGTCCTGATAAAGCGCGTGTGTGTGTGTGTGTGTGTGTGTGTGTGTGTGTGTGTGGGGGGGGGTTGTTTAGATCTTAATAGGTTTGAGTGTGATGACGCAAGCTGTTAGATAAGGCCTAGTTTATTGTGATGTGGGGATGGGGATGGGGTGCTGAATATCCGGGGGTCACTGGACAAACACTCGAACGCTATTATCACAACGAGAAATTGTGATTCATAACACGAAGCATACGTGTGTACAAAAGGTAGCGCTCTTAATATAGCAAAAAAAAACGATGTAGTGGAGATATTAAAAACAAGTCCCGGTGATGTCAAATGTTCTCCTCGCTTCTTATTTTGCTTTCTATCCTCCTTCCTGCTGTTATATAACCACTAGCTGGCCACGTTCCACACAACGCAATCATTCGAGAGAGGGGACGGTCACCATAGCAACCGTAGGGATGAGTTTCTCCCTGTTTTGTCCCACCCCTTCTCTCTGAATGGGTGCTCTCACAGACAATTAGCCTCTGATTGGTCGGGAGCTCTGCTCTACTGACACCTTTTCCAACCGAACCAAGCGAAAGGTGTTCAACGACATTCCTATCTGTTTTCAATTTTTAAATTGGTTGTGAAAATCGGAGACAAAAGTAGTTTTTTTAGTCATGATTTCGTTCATGACACGGTTTGTTTGTCATTCAGCCGACACACCACTCACCGATCCTAAGAATGGCCATATGGTAGGAATATTAAATCATGACACCTGAAAGTGTGTTAACTCAGGAATAAAACACTCCGTGTCATGCTGTTATACAAAAATAATCAACGGGGGTGATGTGATGAAGCGGAGGTTCTATTCCCACTCCAAAGTTGATTATTTTCCTATAAGAGCACATCCTGAAGTGTTTTACTCCTCTTACACCACAGCAGTTTCCCAACAATTACAATATAGCTACGTTTAATGTTGTGGAATATCTATGAAACAAGTTAGTTCCTGTTCTCACTTACGTTATAGCAGCTATAAACAGTCGTTCCCTCACCAGTCTCTCTTTATTTCTCTCTCTTGAAGATAATTAAAAAAACCCCGCAACATGTCATGTTATCACAAAGAAAGAAACCGCAAGGAAGCGTAAACTCCTCTGTCCTGAAGATGTCGGATGACCTAAAGTTCCAGCTTTACCTCTGACTGTTACAAAGCACTGACACTGGAGACTCCTTC